CCGCGCCCGCGAGCGTCCCGCCACCAACGCCGCGCCCGCCGCAGCGATGGGCAACACGGTGCACAGGACGCTGCCAGGTACGCCGGGGAGCCCTGCCCCCGAGGCGGGCGCCGGGCTTCTCCTGCAGGCCACTCGCTGGGTGAATCCCGGAGCGCCACCCCACGCCCCGTGGAGCCCTCGGCGCGCAGCCGGCTAGGTCTCCGGTCCCTCCCGGACCCCGGCTCCGCGAGAGTCTCGCGACTGGGCTTTGCGCTCCGGCAGGGCGGGCACCGCGTCCCGGTTACCTTGGGGACCCCTGTCCTGGTTCTCCTAGCTTGGGCCAGAAGCGCGAAAGGGCCGCTGGGGCGATGCCGCGCGCCCCCTCGCCTTTGTTCTAACCCGAGGGCGCTGAAGAGAGAGCTGGGGCGACCCGGGTGCGGTTGAGGGGTTGACTGGGGCGGGGATCACCCAGACATCCGACAGCTAGAAGCCGCCGGTTATTCTGAGAATGCAGCTGCTGAGAGTCGGGGTGCTCACAGGGGTACCCCAATTTCCAAATGTCCATTGGCACATGCTGCTTTGCCTTGGCCACGTTCCCACGCGCACCCCGGCTGCGCCCCCCTCTGGTGTCCGCTCAAATGGGGGCTCTTTAGCCGGCTCAGAGTAGCTCCTGCAGAGCGCATCGCCCCCTAGTTAAAACCACCCCAGAATTTCTGGGACCATTGTAAGGGGAACCTAGGGGAAGTGAGAAGGGCGTGGGGAGGCAAGGAGGCCTCGGTGGAAAATACCTGGTTTGTGGGGGCAGGTCAGCGCCGGCAAGCCCCCTCGGTGCCCCGCGTTGTGCATACCTCAGCAGTCTGCAGAGAAGCTTCGCGATGAATGCGGGTACCCCGCTTTTACAACTGAGGAATGGAGAGGGGGAATGACTCACTCAAGGTCGCACAGCGAGGAGTAGGAGCAGCTGGGGCTGCGGTGCCTGCCCACCCACCCTGCTGCCCCTGTGTCTGCAGGAAGTGTTTTGGCATAAGACTGTGCAGTTTGTAGCATCCTTTGGGCAAAAGGCAAGGGGTGTGTGTGTGTGTGTGTGTGTGTGTGTGTGTGTGTGTAGGGTCGAGAAGTCAGCTGTGAAGCTAGCAGAGTGTGAGGTTCTAGGAGAGGGACAGTCTCTGTCTGCTCCAGCACTCCCACAGCCCTCCCTCCTGGGCATTACAGCAATTATCAGAGAACTGTTTCTCCCCCAGTGGGCAGTTTGCGTGCACCGTGCAGTGGCTGGATGCCCCAGGCAGGCTGGCCTGGAACCTTTTACAACTGAGGAATGGAGAGGGGGAATGACTCACTCAAGGTCGCACAGCGAGGAGTAGGAGCAGCTGGGGCTGCGGTGCCTGCCCACCCACCCTGCTGCCCCTGTGTCTGCAGGAAGTGTTTTGGCATAAGACTGTGCAGTTTGTAGCATCCTTTGGGCAAAAGGCAAGGGGTGTGTGTGTGTGTGTGTGTGTGTGTGTGTGTGTGTGTGTCAAGGGTCGAGAAGTCAGCTGTGAAGCTAGCAGAGTGTGAGGTTCTAGGAGAGGGACAGTCTCTGTCTGCTCCAGCACTCCCACAGCCCTCCCTCCTGGGCATTACAGCAATTATCAGAGAACTGTTTCTCCCCCAGTGGGCAGTTTGCGTGCACCGTGCAGTGGCTGGATGCCCCAGGCAGGCTGGCCTGGAACCAACTCCTCCTTTAGAAGCTCTGGGCAGTTTCAGGGCAGCCACATTCAAACGTCCAGGTCCCCAGGGGCGTTGCCAGCACAGTTCCCAGCTAGGCAGTGGCAGAGGGAGGACTGGAGGTCTGTCTGTGGAGGGTGGCCTCCGCCTCCTGTGGACATGTGGGACACACTCTGGGGTGCTCGCAAATAGGGAGCGGAAGTTCTAGCGCCAGGGATGCCGGGCTGGGCGCCGCAGTGTGGACCCCTGTGCTAAATTTCTTAGAGATGTTTATGCTGTTCTGGGGTCAGCTTTGGGGTGGATGAAGGGGAGACCACCTTTGTCCCCTCCTGACACCAGGGCAATGGCCGCACATGCCGAGGAGGCTAAATGCAGCTGGAGATCGGTTTGGTCTCCATGCTACTTAGTCCTTGCACTGTGGACTGAGCGCCTGGGCAGGGACCCTGGGGCTGAGGTGGGTGACCTGTGTGGGTGACCTGGATGGCCATGTGTGGGGAACTCAGACACTGCTCTGGGGCAACGCTTGCATTGAATTTGGGGAAGGTGACAGAGCCAGAATTTCTGCACTGTTTTTTTATACCTCTGCATTTAGCATGTGATGTTCCCCTTACCTTTCTTGTCTAATTCTCTTTCAAAATCCAGTTCAGTTGTCACCTCCTCCAGGAAGCCTTCCCTGACAACCCACAGTCCCATCCTTTGTTCTGCTACCTGGATACCTTAAGCGTCTGCTTGTTCATCTGACCACAGTGTGTGGTTGTCATCTGACTCTTTTTAGGGGTTCCCTAAGGACAGAGCCCATGTCTTGAGCACTTACATCCCTGGTTGCCCATCCCAGAACCTGGTGCCTGGCAGGGGCTCAAAACCCGGTGGCGGAGCGGAAGTGCCGCCTGAATCTTGTACTGAAAGAACGCTTGGCTCAGTCCTGCCCTGTGGAATCCTGTGCCTTCGTTCTCAGGAAAAGGACACATGCGTGGGGTTCCTTCTGCGGGACTTGAAATAGAGAGCTGGCATTTGCCGAGCACCTGGACGCCGTGCCAGGCTTCCTGCGCACGCGGCTTCGTCTGCACGCCTAGCTCGCGCTCCATGAGCACCTGCACTCCTGAGCCCTCTGCCTGGAATGTGCTCCTCCCAGACCTCGCCTGGCACCCCTGGCTTCCTTCCGGTCTCCGCCTCCCTGTGGTCCTGCCACCTGCCCCATCCCCAGTCTCCTCACCCCTTTGCTGTGTTCCTCCTTAGCACGGTGCCCACGTGCGTGCTGTGTGTGTGGTTAGTGTGCATTGCCTGTCTCCCCAGGTAGGTGTCCCTGTCTGGTTCACACTGTGTTTCCAGCACCTGGCTGCTGGCTGGGACGTAGGGACGCTCAGTAAGTTGGTGTTGAGTGAATGAATGAATTCCATTCTCCCAGCAGCCTTGCAAGGTCAGGGTTATCACTCCCCTTTCTGGAGGTGACCCAAGGCTCAGAGAGGTGAAATGGCAGCCCCAGCCCACACCGCCCATCGAGTTGGCAGAACCAGGATTCAAATCCAGGGTTATTTAGTTCCAAAGTCTGCATTCTCTCCTGACATGCAGTGTCCTTCCAGCCCGTGGTTTGGTCACATTTATGGGTGCCCCACCACACACGGCACTCAGACACTGTACAATAAGGAAATGCCGGCGAGTGGGAGGTCCTCTATGGGCAGTCTCCGGGAAGCTCCGCAGCACTCCGTCAGAGTGCACCCGTGTGGTTAGACCAGTGCCCTTCAATCGAGGGCTGAGGGCGTGGGGCTCACGTCCCCAAACTTCTGCTGCGTGCGCTGCCCGTGCTTCTGGGGCAGCTCAGTCCTGCCAAGTGAGCTGCTACTTCCCCACTTTACAGACGGGGAGACCGAGGCAGAGAGGTTAAGCCATCGGCTGCAGCTGGGCGGCTGCAAAACTGGGCTTAGAGACACCTGATTCCTAAGGCCGCCTGGTCCTTTCTGCTCAACGCCCCTTGAGCAGGGGTTTGGTTAGGGACCTGTAGTGTCAACAGGTGAGGGCAGGGGAGGACAGCATTCCAGGGTGTGTGGGGGGGAACTTCATCTCCCCCCAGTGCACTTCTGTCCCTGCCCCTGTGCCTGGGCCCGCCGCAGTTCTGGGTGGAGAAGGGGTTCAGGCTGCAGGTTGGGGTTAATCATTAAGTGGGGCCACATCCGACCAAGCCAGTTGCCCGGCTCCGTGGTAGCTTGATAACCAGGCATCTCGTTAACCAGGCGTCCCGGGGCTCTGGAGGAGGGCCGCGTGCTGAAACTAGGCCAGGGGCCTTCCCACGCTGTCTGTGCCAGACCCAGGTCGCACGACTTTAGAGGGGCTCTGTGTCCCCATTCTGCAGGGTATGCAGAGGCGCCAGGAGATAAGGCATGCAGGCATAAGGGGGCACAGTCTTTCTAACCCAGGGGGCGACTGCAAATGCCGCGTCCAGAACGGGGAAGACCCCGCCCCCCCTGGACGCCAGATCCCCCTGCAAATGCCTGCGCACCAGCCTGGGTAAGGGCCAGTGGGTGCTGGACCTGCCTAGTCAGTCTGCTGCTCCCGGCTTCTGTGTGAGCTGTGGGTGCTCCTGGGCCCCGGGCACTGCTGTGTCCCTGGATCTAGACTTTCTCAGCCCTCGGGAGGAGACCACCTTTGTCACCCTCCTTCCAGCCTGGACGGTGGCTACACGATGGCCCTGGGTGCTGCTGCCTGTTTTCTTCATACTGCTCTTCCTCCTGCACCCACAGTGTGGAGCCAGGTGGCCTCCCTGCCGCGTCTGCCTCCCTCCCACCTGGTCCTGAACCTCGCAGCATGGCGGTGGTCCTCGCAGCAGCCCTGCCGTCAGCACGTGGTCGGGAGCCAGGGTGGCCACGGCTCCTTGGTGACGGCCTGCCAGAGGCTGAGGTGCAGGTGGAGAGAGGGGACAGGGTCTGTCCAGTGTACAGGGACGGTGGAGAAGCTGTACGTGGGTCTGCAGCTAGCAGGAACTAGGCCTTCCTCCATTCTTACCATCTTCCCGCTGCCGGTCTTGCCCCTTTCTCTCCCTACACCCCAGCATGGGAGTAAGCGAAGGCTTCCTGGAGGAGGCAATATCTAAAGGAAATCCAGCCAGTGCCTTCCTCTTCTGCCTGACTTTGGGTCTTGTGTCACTCGGTCTCCCCGAGGCCACCCTGATCTCTGCCACGTGCCCAGGCTGGGGTCTGCCCTGCCCTGCATTCCCCTGGGTGTGCCCCCATTCATTTGTCCCTCTGTGGGGCACCTGTTCTGTGCTGGGCGCTGCTGCCACTGTGGACAGGATGAGCTGCCCCCGTGGAGCTGGTGGGCCCATGTGCTCTATAGGGGCGGGGGACACTTAGTTCCACAGGGGCACGAGGTCATGTTCCAGTGCCTCTGAGAGGAGGGTTGA